CGAATTTATCCGAGCAGAATGATCAATGAAAGTGGGGTTGCTTACTTTCTATAATTACTACTAATGAAATTAGAGGCGTAGAAAGGAGAAAACGTTGAAATTTTCTTTCACATGTAGTGATTTTAGGTATAAGAAGATAAGCTTGCTCATAATTGAGCGGGATAAATTTTTCTCATATGTACTGCTCTTAGATATTAGAAGATAAGTTTGCTAATAATTTAATAAGTTTATCATTACCAGTGAATAAAAACATCATTAAAAGTAAAAAGGATGAGAATCTTTACAAAAATGTGATGTTTTATTAAAAAATCAACATATTGAAATAATCTCTTTAAATGCAAACGAGACAGACTTACAAAACACGCGAGTTTTTGGGGTTTAAAAGTGATTTATAATTTGTTGTTTGACCTAAGGAATTAACATTTTGTAAGGAAAGAATAGACTAATACAAATACAATATTACCCTATTTAATTCTACATAATCTCTCATATGAATGTGAAATTTTACATAGAAATGTAAGTTTTCTTATTAGGAAATTAAATTGTTATGGGATGAATCATTACACGTGCTTTATTAAAAAAATGTCACAATGTTGAAAACAATATCAATTTTTCATTCTTACTTTATAAATTCAATATCAACCATCTAAACACACTTTTCTTAATAATCGTATCACCTCTTCATGTTTCAATATTAGTGGGACGGAGGTACATAAGTATTACTCCCTCCGTCCCGTAATTAAGTTCCCACTTTCCCTTTCCGGATGTCCTAAGCAAGTTCATACTTCCTTATTTGGCAAACAAATCTACATCAAAACAGTGCAAAACAATGCTAAAACAGTGTCAAACCGTACAAAATAATGCACTCCACAGTAAAGTCAAATTTATTTTCTTAATATGTGTGATGTCAAACCACGAATTTAATTAAGAATCGGAGGGACTAGAAGATAATGAGTGAATTTTCTCTCTCATTAACAAATCATTTAAGTATAACATAAGCCGACTAACCATCGAACAAAATAATTTTCTCTCTCATATGTAGATAAGATAAGCTGGCTAGCAATTGAACGGGAAAATATTCTCTCATATGTAGTATTTTTAGTATTTCAATATTTAATTAGATCATGAGTAAAAATATAGGCACCAATTGCTATTTCCCGTGCGTATGCACGGGTACTGTACTAGTTTGCTAAAAAACAAAGGTATCGTTAATTTCTTGCACATCTCTTTAAAAAAGCTTTTCTTGTTTTATTTTTTGCCAAATTCACACTAATAATCTCTACTTTTACACATTCAACAAAAATGATCCTTACTAAAAAGATTGACAACAATAATCTCAACTCGCTAATCACTTTACAAAAATAAATCAAAGGCTAATGGTATTAGTTTTTCGTTTATTATTTTTGCATGATTTACGAAGTTAAAATTATAAAGAAATAATGAAAAGTATATGACATGAATAATTGTAGTGAATAAAAATATATGTTTTTACTACCTCCGTCTTATTGAAAGGTTCTCAAGGTGAAACGACACAGTTATTTAGACAATAATTAAATAAGGTAATTCGAGTATATCTTGAGAAATATTTTTAATAGGTATGTAATATAATGATGTTAGCATTATCAAGTGTGATGTTATAGATGTATTATTTTTAATATTTAATGATTAAATTATCGTTTAAGATTGTTAATTGTTTCCTAAAATAGAAATGAGAGCTTGTATATGTGACGTCCAAAAAAGGAAAATGAGAACCTTTCTACGGAACAGAGAAAGTATAATTTAGTGACTATCATAGTAAATTTAGTTATGATGATTGTATTGAACTCTACAATATAGTGACATTATGTATAGTAAGTAGAGTCATATTTTTGTCCATAAGTTATCTCCAATTTCAGTGATATTTAAGTAAAAACCTCAAATATAAAGCATTGAGAATGCCATATTTGATCCTAAATTTATATCCACTTTAAATATGATTAAATATTAAACATTTTTCATAAAATATAGTATAAATAGATGAGGGGATACACATCAATTTCTCTTCTATTAAAAAATGAGTTCCCTTCAACTCTTTTATTTCTTATCAATATTTTAATCATATTAGCAATAGACATTGCAAAATAATTTTAGCAATACTATATTAAATATTAATATGAAGTATATGACATTACATTTGTCTCATTTGACATTGCCGACTTTGACTTCTGTGAGAGATAAAAAGGAATTAAAAGTTGTGTGTTTTGAGGTTTGTGCAGGAAAAAGAGAAAAGCTTAAGCACAAATTAATTGATTTGATAAGAAAGTAGCAAATTTTTTTGAACAAGCAAAAAAAAGGTTGGCAAAAACCAATTAGACGGAGAGAATATTATTTTTAAATAAGTCAATTGTTACAATTTATCTATTATCATTTGGAATGGATGTGATACTAATTTAATATATACACTCTCTAGTTTATTTGGTATCTATATAAGGCACTACTAAACCTTTGTCTTTTCAAACGCGGACGGCTACACCTAGGGATTCCTAGGGTTGCGTGACGTTAGGCAGTTTCTTGAGCCGGCGATCTTCGGCGGTTCTCTGCGAGAGAGTTTAGGCGAGCATCTGGTTTACTAAAAGCATGCAGCTGGCGAGTGTGGAGAGACATAGTTGTGGCTTCGACCTTAGGGGAATAGGGGAGAGCAGCGACGAAACAAGCAGGCAGCACAGGACAAGGGTAGGGGTGGACCGGGCCCGAGTAGACCAGCCCAACCCGACACTATTCTGAACCGGACCGACCCGGTTGGAGTGACCGGGCCTTGGGCCTGACCCAGGGGCTGCTGGGCGGGTAACAGACTTGGCCCCTTTCGGAACTGGCCCGACCAGTCTGGGGCTAGTCCGGGCCCAATTTTTTTTTTTGTTTTCTCAAATGCATTGGGTTGTAGGCGGGTTGGGTTGGGTGGTTTGGGGGTGTTTGGGGGTGAGGGGTGGGGGGGAGTAGGAGCTAATAAGGAAAACCAAAAAAACATGACCCAACCCAGATCGGTCCCGGAATCAAGTGGAATCTATTCATGAGGATAAGAGTTAATACTGATTTGACTAGACCCCTGAAACAGAAGCTATTTTTGCAAACAAATGAATGGGGGAAATTTTGCGTCAGATTTAAATATGAGAAACTCCCTAGTTTCTATTGAGCATGCGGAAAGGTACTGTCCACGCTATCCCAATGGGAAGGAGGGAGAACTGTCGTTTGGACTAGAATAGAACTGAGAGCTTCAAAAGGGAGGGTACTGTCGAGCGAGAATAAGTGGTTGATTCCAATGGGGAAAGGAAAAGGGGAGGAAGATGAAGGTTGTAAGCCTGTAACATAGCTTCAGTGGTGGATGGCCACGAAACTTCACAGAAGGAACAAGGTTATAATGCTACGCAGGAGGGTTGATCGCGAAGATGAAGACTCTGTGACACGCAACTAAAGTTCAGGCAAGAGGTTCAAGCAAGGATGAAAAACAGAGATTTTCATCAGTTGCAATTTTACTTTTATTGCATTTTTTATTTAAGACTTAATTTGCTTGTTTTTGTTTTGCACAATAAGGGGGCGGGTTTTTAGGTTGTTGGAGGCAATCATACCTTTATGCTCTCACAGTTTCAGCAAATAGTCTCGCTCTTCTCGGGGTAGACTATTTTATGTCTGATCATGGCATGAGAGGGCCAATTGGGCTTTTGATATGGGTTGGATGGAGGGAAGTTTAGATCTTGTGACATGGGTGCTATTGCAAATGTTTTGATCTTAATATAAGTAGTTTCTTAGAGAAAAAAAAGTTTGTCTATTCAAAAAGTTTAAAATGTGGTGTCAAATAATCCAAGATTGAAAAGTTATACATAAATAATCTCAACTTGTTAACAATTTTCATAAATGTAGTAGTAGGCATGGAGCCGGGCCGGGTCGGGCCTTTTGTGGTTGGGGGAAGGACCGGCCCGGGTTGCCACCGAGTCCGGTTTGAGCCGGGCCTCGGGCCGGGTTTTTTTTTTTGCTTTCCTAACTACCCCCTCCCCCCTCCCCCCCACAGCATCAAGCCCAACCCAGGGGGACCCAAAAAAATGAAAAAAAACAAAAAAAAAAACCATTTTGGCCCGAACCCGGCCAGGCCGGGTCTCCATTTTAGCTACCCGAGCCTGCCCCTCTTTTTCCCCATAACCGGGTCATAGACCGGTTTGGGGCCCAAAGCATCAGGCCGGACCGGCCCCACACAGCAGCGCGCCGGGTGGCCCAAACCGGGTCCAAGCCTAAGTAGAAGGTTAACACTATTAAGCGACAATTCATTTCTGTGAAACCAAAATTCAAAAACAACAATATGCCCATAAAGTAGTAAGAGCAAGTATTTTGGAAAATTTTAAATTATTTAAATTTCAATACGTATGTAATGTACTTGTTTTCATGTGTCTTTAATTACATTTCGTTAAAGTTCATACTTTTTCATATTTCATGTTTGTACCATTTTAATAAATACAAGAAATCAAATTACTGTATTTTTCATTAATCATTGTGTGCATTGTATAATTATTGTGGGGACTGGGGAGAAATGAAACAAACATGACTAGAACCAGGCCTGAAACAGAACCGGAATTGATCAAATCGACCAGAACCGCCGGATAGATCAGAACCAGCACGACACCTTGTCCCGATTGATTCAGTTCTAAATGGGGGTTGGGAACCGGCTATTTTGAATTCAGAATAGGACCAGGGTCCTCCACCCCTACCTAACTATATACAACTTAGAAAGCAAAATTAAAAGGGCTTTCAGAGGCAATACCTGATTTTCGTTCACAATTGATTCTTCGTGATTTGGAACTAAGATAGGAAGCCAAAGATGATAGCGACCCTCAAAAGAAAAAATATTCTGGTTGCCATCTCTCTTTCAAGCTGGGGCCTGGGGGGCTTATTCTCTGCTTTGGAATAAGCCATGGAAAACCCAATTGTTTCTTTAACTAACAAAAGAATAAAGAAAATATACAGAACGCTAGAAAAGCAAATTCAGAGCTCAATAGTTTTATTGATTGATTAGCAAAAAGAGAAACCACCACAGCGCACATAGAGGGGATCAAATAGATAAAGGCATTTTCAAAAGAAGCTTTAAACGGAAAAAATAAATGTCTCAATGTGTACTTTCAGGAGAATGATGTATCCGACTTAAGATTACTGACTCGGACTCTACAGGCACCACTACCTCAAAAGCCTCAGCAGGACAAAGCAAAGGAGGATCAGATTTAGGGGAGTGATTGCCTAAAGGCTTGCCCATTTTAGTTGTCAAATCTTCTGTCACATCGGGTAAAAGCTCATCACAAGGTCCTCCTCCTCCATCCACTACTGCTGTAGGCTTGGTGGCCACCTTATCACCATTTTCCTCTGCTACATCCACCTCCATGCTAATTCTCTCTACTAGGCCCTCAATCACAGGGTGGTGATCCGTGAATATTTTGGACCCCTCTACCTTCGTCTCGGGACTAACTTGGATCACACCCTCATCAGAATTAGGATGTATTTGCTTGGCCACAAGTCCATCAGCAAAAACGTCTTCTGCGGAGTCTTTATCTTTATCATCCAGTGCTACAGAGGATTTACGTTGTATATTTATGAAGACGTTAACATCTGCTCTTTGCTCCTTGTACAAGGACATTGCTTTCTGCATTTCAACCACGCGCAAATAATAAGTACAAGAAAATAACACTATCAGGGTTATATAATCAAATTGCCACTTGCTATTGATACTTTATAATAAATAAAGCTTATGCTGCCAAACTCTCGTTTTAAGTAAAAAAATCAAGTTAATTCAATTAAGTGAAGCTTATAAATAAACTCCGTAAAATATAGCTAGCAACAAGAGCCAATAATTTAGTCCTCTGAACCTCTTCCACAGCATATAAAGCAATACTTAAAACAATGGCAAATAACAGTGAATCAGAATATTGCAAATCTGTATGGGAAAGATGAAAAGACCACTTGTGCACAAAGCAAGAACCTGAATATGAAGTTATGAAGGCTCCTTAAGAACTAAAGTAAATTGAAGAATGTACCTCAAGAACAGAATCACTTGCAGCAGGCAAAAGTGATGTCCATGAAAGTCTATTTGTTGCAGCTATCTTACCTTCCTCCTGAGGCTGCAACATAAGGATAATAAATTAATCACCTCAACTCTATAACTGAAGCATAATAGTTGTTGAGCATGCTGGGATCTTACCTCAAGATACAGCCTTATAGGAACATCTACATCAGCTACCATGGTGTCATCTGAAAGTAAAAGGCTTTTGCATTGTTCATACAAGTCAGGTTCAGTAAGATCAGCAGAAATGTCAAGCTTGGCGAGGTAAGCTAGGCAAAAACAAGAGTCATTCTTTCTTGACAACTTAGAATCACTAATACATGGTTCTTGAGGTAGATTTGTCAAATCTTCTGGAATATTCTTGTTCTCAGTAGGATCAGTTGACTGAGTAAAAACATTGCTCTCAACCTCAAGATCGGCATGCTTTTGCTCACTCTGAGAATGCTGGCCTGACTGGCAAGTCAAAGATTCATCTCCTCCTGGTCCCTGTCCTGAATGAGCCTCTTTGTGAGAAGCAGATTGCATCTCCAGACTAGCACTCCTGTTTGGCCCCACCTTCCACAAGTCACTAGTCTGCTCCCAGTTCCGATTCATTGGCAAGTTCCTATACTGGTCCCACTCTGGCCTCCCATAGATGTTTGCCTCATCACCAAGGACAGAATTGTTAGAATCCCAAGAATGAAATGGGGAGCACGAACTATCCATAGGAGTTCGCCATCCAATGGGGCGCCCATGGTTGGAAAATCTATCAGCATCTGGTGGCATATGGTAAGGGAGTCCAGGGTGATTCAAATCCATCGAGGGTCTGACACCAAACATGGGTGGGGCAGGAAACTGTTGCATTACCGGGGGGAAACTGACGTGAGGTGGAGCATGTTGGAAGATGAAACCATTACCAACAGGGGAAGGCCAACTAGGAACTCCTCTCCAAGAATTTCCTTGGAATCTCCCAACATTTGACTCACCACCACCGACCCTTCTATGCCTGCTACCTGGCTTGGTTCTAAAGTCATCTTCAGAAGAGCTGACCACTGAAGAACTATCAATACCTTGCCTAAAAGGGAGAGGAGGGGGCAACCTTGTGCTGCCTCCTGATACATGGCTGCCACCTCTGATGAAAGGTGAAGAAACAGATAAAGTATCCCCATCTTGATGGCCAGGTTCATGGCCTGCAAATCCATCCATGGGAGGATCACGATTTCCTCTGCCTTCCTTGCCAGAGAAATCTTTTGCTGCATCTTTTGACCCACTTCTCAGTGCAAAATCTTCAACGTCAAGGCTTCTCTTAACTTCAGATCTCCCTAGATGCCTTCGATCATTACTTGTCGATGAAGGGGACTTATCCACCACCTGAATTGAGGAGTTTCTAGAATCAGATTTCAGACGCCGTTCAGCTGAACCATCTATTAAATAGTTGTCGTCCTTTTGAATAGCTTTTTCTGCAGATCTTGTTGAAGATATTTTATCCAATGCTCCAGCCGATCCAGAATAATCTCTACTGCGTCGAGCTCTATCCTCATAAGCATGGTCCCTGTACTTTGAACCTTCTTGCTTTGATTGCCTGAAAAGGATGAAAGTGCGTAGATGTAATTCATTGAGATGTGTTCAATTGGGTAGAATAATTACTAAATCCATAGTTACATTATTCTGACATCTCAGTATCAATTTAGTTGAGCACAAATTAATAATGTAGGCCCTGTTCCAGGTGGTTGTTAGTCCCCAGTTTTGGTATTATGATTTGAAAGGTTGCATAATTCATAATGCATATAGTGTGATAAAACAAAACTACTCAAAGACTGGTTTCAAAATGACAACCTGATATCCTAACTCTGGTTTTTTTAAACCCCAAATAACTGGCAAATCACAACCACCTCGGACAGGGCCTTAGTTGAACACAAATAACCTAATTGAAATTCAAAATGACCGGCTATAATTTCCACAGCCAATGAAATAAATACTAATTTTCTGCAATCTGGAAATAACGAACTCGGAATGCCCCAAAAGATCTGGTGTGCATATCTGGCATAAAGTAGCAAGACTAACTCCACATTTTGCACTCATGAGCAGTATATACTAGTTCACCTTAATGCCTTATGATACTAAAAAGAGAAAATTCCCTAAATAGGAGTAAAATATACGTAGTAGCAAATTTCCTCAAAAAAAGTACCATAGTTTTCTTCCCAAATTAAGACTCGTTCATTCCTACTTTGAGAAGCTTATATTGTTTTGTTTCTTTAATAGGACTAAATAAATCCTATTCTGGAAAGAAAACATACCTAGTCGTATTTTAGAACATTATCCATCATTACACCTATCTTGAACAATTTCTTTAGTAAAAATGTGTGGTATTCTGTTCAGTGAAGCATATCAGATCATAATATTACGGAATTCTGTTTAGAGAATCATATCAGATCATAAAAGTATGCTACATGTAAGAAAGTTGGAGCATATCAAGTGGTAACCCATCCTAAAACTTACCTGTAATGATCTCTTGACATATAAGGGGCACTACTAGGCGAGCTTCTTCTGTTATGATTTGAAGTTCGTTCTAAATCACTATTCCTTGAGGAGGATTTAACCCGGTCACTGCCCAAGTCCACTCGAGCAACAGTGCCAGACCGCTTTTCTAGATCATATTGATCTTTGGAATTCTGAAATCTAGAGTCACTACGATCCTCCTTATCATCAGTTCTTCTCCTTCCCTGATCATCTTTGAATCTTGGTGCCCGGTCATCATAATTAGGGCTAGTATTCTCGTGAACACCTCCTTTCCTAGATAGACTGTCAGTAATATGAGTCTCATCTTTTGAAAACTTTGCATCAGATCTATCTCCTGAACGGTCTCTTTGGGTGTGCTCATCTGTGTACTTTGCCTCCCTCAGCCTTTTCTCTTTATCGGATTCGTCTCCATGCTTCCCTTCCCGGTGGTGCATACTAACCTTTTCAAAATCCTCCATATGTTGTTTTTTGTCCTTGTGCCTATCATCTCTCTCAACATCGTCCCCATACTTATTGTCCCTATGTCTATCTTCCTCACCATCTTCACGATATCTGTCATCACGGCGGTTAATATCCTTATTTTTATCTTCTGGATGGTATTTGTCATCTCCATCCCTCTCGTTATCTTCACGATGCTTATCATCTCGGTGCCGACTATCTCTTTCTGCATCTACTCGGTACCCTCCTTTGTGCCTGTTATCTCTATCTTCATGCTGGTGATATTTTTCTTCCCTATATCTGTTATCTCTATCACCATCATCACGGTACTTGCCATCTTTATGCCTATTATCTCTACTACTATGACCATCTTCCCGGTATTTATCCTCACGGCGTCTTCTGTCTTTCTCAGCTTCGTACTTTTCATCCTTAGTATGCCTTTCATCTCTATCACCATCTTCCCGGTGCTTATCTCTATAGCCTCCATCTTTATGTTTTGAATCTCTGTGTCTTTCATCTTTAGTGCGCTCTCCACCTCTTGAAGACAGCTGTTTCTCATCAATTTCAATTAGATCCTCATCATACTTATCTCGACCAGCAGAACCATCGCTTCTCTTGCGCATCTTTTTCTCGGTGTCTCTATCCAGATCAGAATGGCGCACTTCACTGCGCATTGATCGATCTGCAACAATTGAACATTTATTTATAGACAAAAGTAGAGCACCTATTAATGAAAAATGAAATTAATATGAAATGAACAAATAGTCATACTAGAATATAAAGATTTACTTCAAGGCCTGGATTCAAACATTAGCTTACATTTTCTGAAAGTTATCGAAATAACTAATACATATAATCCTGACCAGTACAGTATTATAATCAAGTAACTTAAGATCATTTGAAATAATCTCAGAGCCACATAGGTCTTACTTGAGGTTGAGTTTGCGGTAAAAAGCTCTGTATTAGAAAAGCACCTCTAAAAAGTACATTTCAAATTGAGGTGGCAATGTGCTTAAGAGTTATAAACGTTGGAATCAAGGTTTAAAAGTGGTGTTTACATTAAAATGTCTAAAGAAGAAAAATTTTAAATCTCAATTTTCAGATGCAAATAATGTTATGTGAAATTAAAATTAAAATGGCTAATCTGGATATATTTTGATCTCAAATGAAATTCTCAAAACGCAAAAGTAATTCTAGACTGAATTTTGAATCATGGTGGCGTTTGAAATCAGCTTTCAGCAAAACCATAATATAATTGGGATATTTTTGGGACAAAAAGAAGTATTTTCCCACCGCAAATGCAATACAAAATAAGACCAAGACGCAATGCCAATAAGAAAGTCACAACCAACACTGGTACGCATTTTACTACAGTGAGCAGAAGCGTATAAGCAGTTAATTCTATTCATAAAAAATATCAGCACGAAAAAGGATGCTTTGCTCCCAAGGCATGTCCTTGAAAATGAACAAATGATATAAATTCACCCGTTAAAGATGTCAGGACAGGATTATTATAGTGTCTCTCACATAGATAGTTGCGATAAAAGTGTGATCCTCCTTTGTATGCCCACCTTATAAAAGGTGCACCAGAGATCTATATTTTAAATTTTTAATGTTAATAGATGAGTTCAAATGTCTAGTAAGACACATGTTGAATGATGCTAACATTATTTCTTTGGCAGGTGTGTCAAAACGATTCAAAATATGCAAGATACAGATTCCAATTACATTTCATAGATATTATCAAGTAGTAAGGAGAATTAGGAAGAAAAAACTCACACCAGATGAGCCAATTGTTGTGGACTCCCATATTTGGAATATTTTAGTTACCAATAATGAATATTGAATATGTAAAGAAACATGATATTAAATATTATGATATGTTCAGTACTTCAAGCTCACTATATATGTTCATCACATTTAGCATTTTTCCTCTACATGGAAAAGTACTGACACAGTGACAAAACAGATGTATAGTGAATTTTCAACTCAAAATTATAGATTTTTTAATTCACATCACAAAGGACAGCCATCATGTTCCCTAAAAAATATAACTTTCATTGCGGTTCACAGAATTTAACTTCTCAAACACAGACAAGCAAGGAGTAAAGCAGGGCTCTTTTTGAAATAAGAAACACAAATCAAAAAAATAATAGTAATAGAAGTCTAGCAGTCACAAACTACATAGCAAAAATACCTTACCAGTATGTTCTTTATGGCGTTTTCCTTGCTTCTCCTCTCCAACATCACCAGCCTGGGACCGCAGCTTCTTTTCTGTATCAGTTTCACGCTTCCTCTCCCTTTCTGAACCGTGATCCCTTTCCTTCACATTGGTGCTCTCTTTTCGAACAGAATCTATTTCTGGTTTCCTCTTTGACTCACTACTCTTTCCGCTCTTAGCATCTTCTTTCTCCGCTCCTGGGGCTGAAATCTCCTCCTTTTTCTCACCAGCACCGCCAATCTCATGCTTTTTACTACTTTTACTCCTGGATTCGCTTGAACCTTTTGCTTCCTTCTGCCTCAATCCCTTGTCCTGGTCAGTTTTTGAACTTGCTGGCTTTCCCCCCTTGCCCTCTTTGTCTACAATCCTAACATCAACACTCTCGTCCACACCACCATTCCACCTATCACTGCCGCCACTTCCATCCACCTTCTCCTTTCGCCTCTTGGAAGAGGCATACTCCTCAGGAACCTCCCCATTCACATGACTGCTCAGATCTTTGCCATCCTTCCCCTCTCTCGTTTGAGAAGAAAACTTGCGCTTATCACCAGAAGCAGAATGGGCCAAATCCTTAGAAGCCCTAGCGGAACTCTCCTCCTTAATGCTCTTGTCCTTCATCTTCACATCGCCCTCCGAGTCCGAGTACTCCCTCGCCTCCTTCGAACTATGCTTGCTCTGCTTGTGCGATTTACTCTTGGAACTCCTAGGCATACCTCACTGATTGGATTTCCCAAACACAGCAAATCTTAATTGCTATTCAGCACAAACCCTAGGTCTTAGCCGCCAACTGCACAGCCGCAACAACAATTCAGATTCAGTTCAGACGGACTTCCTCGGAAGAATGCAACGCGGAATCTTAACTTCGGCCGGTTGACTGGCCGGAAAGTTGATTCGGCCCTCCGAATTGCCTCTTAGCGCCGCCGCGTAGATGCAACCCGGATGCGTATACAGATGATACGAGTCGGGTGAATTGACAGAGAAGTCGGGAAGGAGATACGGATAAGGATGGAGATTCAAAAACAGAGAATGGGACGGGAAGAGGAATCTGAACAGCAGAGAGAGCGAGAGAGGGATCGGAGGGGAAGGGCTGTTGTTCTTGTTGTCTGTGGCCTCGCCCAAGTAAAATGTGATTCGTATTGGGATAATTTGACCGAAAACATAAAATTATTGTAGGAATTTGAGGCCTTTTCCGCCCTATTTGTCACTACAACAGTACGGTAAGTTCTGTTCGTTTTTTGTCTAAATAGGTCACTCTAAAGACTGAATCATGTTCCTTTCAAAAAAAACTGAATCATGTCACGATCTTCATAGTAATTAATTAATCATTAAATAGAAACTAGTTCAATCTCAAATCATCCTTATAGGATACTCGGGTTATCCAAGAATACAAGCCTTTGATGCCATATTTAAACATCGATTATATATTATGGATGTTTTCTTTGGACTGAAATGTGCTGGTCTAGTCTGAACTGGTCTGATCTTATAAATATATTGTCAATGTGTATTTTATCATAATGGGAGTCTGGTCTGGTCGAATCTGGTCTGGTCTGTTCTAATTTGGTCTGGTTTGATTTGATCTGGTCTGAGACTGAAAACAGTTCAAAAGAAAACATCCTATGTTTGTTAAACTTATTAATATTGAGGGGAATTATATGTAGTGTGCTATCGTTTAGATAGAATGTGTTTAGAGTCGTTCTACATAAACTAATATGGCCCATTGATAGGGACTTTTGGTAATCAAACTTTATGAACAATTCTCCCTACAACACGTTATATGCACGATAATACATGTTATCTTAGTAAAAGCGCTCATAATGTTCACATATTTTGATAGTTTGATGCATGAGAGTATCATGATTCGATATAAATGTGTAATGAATGTTTATCTCATAAGCATTTAAAATGTAAATTCTGTTGGGCCCTAGAAATATCGGAAGCCGCCCGGTCCAATCGTGGTAAGTAATTAGAGGCAAAGCCCAGAGATAGAGAGAAAGCTCAACCCGATGAAGCATGGATGAAGAGGCAAGTGTTGGTACACACGATTCTAGAAGCAAGCACATATGGAAAGTAACTCATACATGTCTCACATGTGTTGACCAAAGCTACATATAAGGGGAGTTAGAATATAGCTGCGTGTCATTTAATGGTGTATAATTTTATTCCTTTCATGAATATTCTTTCCATATGGTTTAATTAGAAAGTAGCATACATACATAGTATAAAATACGTACATCTTAGAAGAAGGAAGAGGAGGAATTCAGATCACCCACTACCCAATACTCTTGTGCTTATACGATCATTCTTGAGTTAAATCATTCTTGATTTAAATCATTTTGCTATCACCTCTTGCAATGAACAACGAACTCCATTAAATTAATTCTGATTTTAGTCTATTATTCTTCTGATTATTATCTTGTACGATCCCTTCTTCAATTATTTGATTGTTAGCAGAAATTACCAATTTCTTGCCTAAACAATTTAACGCCCACCGTGGGAAATCGTGCAAGAGAAATATCAATCATGGCTGGAGCTAATCCCTTGGTGAGTAAATTTCACGAGCAGCTAGAGACGATGAAGGAAGAAATCCGGCGCGAGGTGGCGGAGCGGATGGCCCACCTTCAATGGGAGAATGACGTTCTTCGTTCACAAGTACACTCGGTGGTGTCAGTAGTTTCAAACTCAATAATTAACCGGAGGAGCGACACCATGACTGCCGCCACAAGACTAGATCTTGGCTTCACCCCAGCGGCGACGGATCCACCTGCAATATCGACGGATCCACCTGCAACATCGACGGATCTAGTTTCCCTCACGCTAGGCCCGTCACCAACCGGAGAGCCATATTCAACAGTCATTTCACAGGTTGTTCCTTACACTCCTCTCATCCCTGAGACCACGCTGGTCCCCAACGTTCCGGCTTGTTATTTCCCAGAGTCCCTTCGAGTCGGATCAAGAGGAACATGCCTATATTCGCCGACTCAGAGCATGCATTCGACGGGTATGGCATCTACCTTGATAGAGCCCTCAATTCCTCATTCTAGAAGCACGACCTGTGGAGATCCTGGTCCGTCCAGCCTCATGCAAGACGCCAGACGTAACGAGCCTGACGTATCATTTCTGGAGCGTTAGGCGCAACGTTCTCGCAGACCCGTCACGTCATCAGCAACCACATTTTCGGAATGACGCCCTGAGGTAATCTTCATCCCATCACTGACTTGACCTGAAGTCACACAAATAACCAGACCAATTGTCTCGATTCCGGCACCAATTCATCCAGCCTTGGCAGATCAGATGTCTAAGATGATGGAACAATTGCGTTAAATGCAAGACAAGATCAATGGATTGCTAGGAGTACCCCCGCCCTTGGACAGAGTTGTTGGAAATATGCCCTAGGACAATCATAGTTTATGATTTATCAATAAATATTTAATGCTCATTAATTAATAAAGTCACGAACTCATTTTATGTTAATTATTATTGTGGGTTTTCTTTATTAATATTTAAGTCCCTGAATATTCTGTTTAGTAGCTAATTAAGTATGTGACTTAATTGTGGAATGCTACACTTTAAAATAAACATAATATTCTAATTGTCCCTGGTCTAATATTATTAATTTGGGACATTAATAATTAATAGACTAGTATGTGGATTAACTGATGGCTATATTCCACTAGTCATGGGTATAGAGATATCAAGTTAATAACATAGATGCTTGTTAGGGAACAAGTTCATTGGACAGACCCAACTTGAGGACACTGCTAGGTTATATGTCATCAGTGTTGTCCTCAATAATGATGAAGTGCTATATTCTTATATACTTGAGATAATCATGGTTACTTGCATCAGAATTAATATGTATTAACACCATTAAATGTTATCTTTAAATGGGTAATTATAAAGGTGGTGATTGTACATATTATAAACCATGTAGTAGTATGCAAATTATCAAGATAGTTTTTGTCACTCTTGTAAAGCGAGAGAAAGATATCTATTGGGCCCCTTGACAAGTAAGATTAATTAGCATGGGCATGCTCAAATGTAGTGTAATTTGATGAAGATTAATCTTACTTGGTAATCAAGAAATATTAATTGAGAATAACAAGGATGACACGACCTAAACTTGTCTCAATTAAAATATCGTTTGACAAAAGAGAACTATTAGTACAAATTAATCATTAAAAGGTTATGTCAGATTTAATTGACATTTATATATTTTGGGTAGTCATAATGCTTTGCTAGAGGCCGCTTATGATTTGTGAGGCTCGAATTAATTTCCTAGCCCACTGCCAATAATATATAAACTTACAGGGTCACACACCTAAGTGATCTGGATCATTAATGTTTGTTAATAACATTAAAATAGCCTGATAAGCTCAATTCGAAATAGGGTTTCAAAGGGTATTGGGCTAGGGCCTCTTTAAGGGTTTTATTAGCTATAAAACCCCTTCTTTCCTCCTCTCATAAATAGGGCCATATAGACCCACGAATTTTAAGAGTTAAAATTCACTTCTTAAACTTAGAGTAGAGAGGAAGAAAGAAGAGAACGCTAGCACGTTCCCTACGGCCGATCCAGTCACGTGCGTGTGGATACCGGTAGAGCCCGGGATCGTTTTCTCGGACTGTCTGACATCCTTAATTAAGATTGCTATGTAAGTCCCTCTTAAATCTTGTAATTTCATTTATAGTAAGAACCTCAGATCCGGTTGTTTACTTTTGGGTAGTAAGATTTTCGTTTATTCCGCTGCGTTTTTCTGCCCGAAACCCAACAAAAGCATCACGAACGTGTTATGAAGATTCAACTTTTGACGGTTCGATCATTCGTGTCGAAATGCTGCATAAATTTGACATACCAACCATGGACCCATTTGACGGAACCACAGATCTTGGAGAACATATCGCACGATACAAGCAAATGATGGCGATCGTCTCCGTTAAACCTAAACAGAGAGAGGCATGTATGTGTTGGGGATTTGGCATGACATTGACCGGTCCCGTTTTGACATGGTTCGTCAATCTTCCGAATGGAAGCGTCAGTTCGTTTGCCGAACTCGTCAATCTTTTAAATCGACAGTTCGCGAGTAGTGAGGTATTGGAAAGACGGACCCGTGACTTGTATCAAGTCACGCAAAGGCAGGGTGCATCACTTAGAGATTACTTGCACAGATTCAACGTAAGGAAGGTGTCGATCCCAAAGTGTGATGTCTCAACCGTCATTGAAGCATTCAGAAAAGGGTTGTATGAAGATTCAGAGTTGTACCGGGAGCTGACGAAATACCCTTGTCGATCCTTTGAAGATGTCCATGCAAAGGTGTTGGCTTGCATCCGTCTAGAAGAAGACTTACGATCCCGCCACGGACGATTTAAGTATGACAGGGGGCACGGGAAATCAGAATCTCTTGGGAGGCATGATTACAAGTCTGGAAAACCTTATTCAAGACCTGAGGAACGAGTCGTCACACCATGACGAGATAAACTTGACAAGATGGTTGAAATCTCAGGCAGGGGGCATGTCGTCCGATGGTAAATAGGTTTTAAAGAGCTGCAATACGGTAACCCTTAAAGTTGTTTCATTTTTAGTTTGTTACTTTCTGTTACATACTGTTATCAATTCACCGACGAATCACTTCTGTGACGAGTCAATTCCGTGACGTATCACTTTCATGATGAGTCACTTCCGTGACGAATCACTTTCATTAGGGCTCACTTCTGCGACGAGTCATTTCCGTGACAAGTCACTTCCGTGACGAGTCACTTTCGTGCTAAGTCTCTTCGGTGACGAAACGATTGAACTCGTCAGGCGGGGGGCATATCGTCTTACGGTAGACATGCTATGATGATAGCTTATCTAGGTTGGTATACATATTCTTAATCTATTATTTTCATTTATCTATAGACGATCACTGACTTAGTCATCGGAGGGTCGTTGGCCCAAAGCCAACGACCAACTTTGACGGTTTGTAGCGAATGCAGGGCAATCTTGACGTATAGGTTCAGACAACTATCAAAGCAACCAACAAAGGTTAAGAGACGACATTCAGGCTCACATCAGCCAAACACCCCCTACTTAAACATCAAAATGGGAAGGGTTAGGCTGCCCATGAGAATATCATGGATTACAATCCTAACAGAGCCCATACAATGCGTTTTGGCCAAAACCTACACACGTATATGACAACGCACATGCAATCAAAA